AATTTTTGAATTCAAAACATTTCGACGTACCCGCCCAACCTATTTCAGAAATTTTAAAAAAAAATCTAAAAAAGTTTGTCACGAATAAATTCGTGACAAATAAGAACCGGCGTTGCTCCGGTGAGCTATTTTGTCACAGAAATATGTCGTGACTAATCCTGACAAACTTTGTCACGGTCCCGTAGCCGTGACAAATAGTTTGTCACGCCTGGTTTGTCACGGCGTGTGTCCGTGACAAAAAAAAATGCCACGGCTTTTTTGAACCGTTAGCCGTGACAAATTCCGTGACAACCGGCCTGTTTTTTTGTAGTGTTTTCTAGAATTTGATTTGACATCAATTTACACGTATACTAATCTATTATAATAAATTCAAATGTAACAAAATTTCAATCATAGTTAATATTTAATTATTCAATTTTCACTTAGTGATGAGTTAGAAAAAAACACTGGAACCCTAAATACGAAAAACTATTGAATAATGTTAGTAGCTAGTCATTTGTGATTCTTCAACGCAAGCGTTACAAAAAAATCAATATTATAGAGCTACAATTCAAGAATTGGTAATAATTAGTCCTTTAAGTAAATTAATATAATATCTAAAAAAAGTTGTTATGACTTAATGATTTTAAATTTATATAAGAGTTGTCCGCGCAAGAAATACCAAGTGAATCGAATTTCTTGATGTTTGCTATATCATGAGCACTTCGACAACATGAAAAATTGAGTACAGCGTTAGAAATTAATAATCATGAGGTCGGTAATTATACAATTGTTAAAATAAATCTAGACTTGAATACATGTACAATTGGCTCAATACGTTGGAGTATTAAAATTTTCATCTTTTATAAGTAATGTTTCTGGGGAAAAGGGGCAAATAAGTCCTCGAACTAACCCTAAAAGTGCAAATCACCCCTTTTATAGGAGGCTCTGTCTGGCCGTCGCTATTTGAGGCGGTTTCCAGTGTATTTTTTTGAGCATCTTCTTCATTAAATCTAGTTTATTCATACCAAATTTCAGCTAAAAATTCAATCGTGAAGGCAGTCAAATAAATGTTTAAAGATAACTGCACAGTAAAACAACTCAGTATATTTCAGAAAATCATTTGACTGCCTTCCTGGATGAATTTTTACCTGAAATATGGTATGGGTAAACTAGACTTAATGAAGAAGATGTTCAAAAAAATTCATAAAAAATTTCCACCGGTAACCGTCCCAAAAAGCGATGGCCACACAGAACCTCATATAAAAGGGGTGATTTGCACTTTTTCGATTAGTTTGAGGGCTTATTTGCACATTTTTCCTATTAAGTTTGAAAACTTGTATCTGTAGTTGCGTCTCTGCGAGCATTTAAGTTCTCCTAATTGAAGGAGATTAATGTTTTTTACTTAACTATTGAAATTAATGATGTTTGAAGGGCATGATAACGTAATTCTCTTGGTACACTTAGGATGTTTTTACTTGGACTGTAATTCGTCCCAGACCAGATCAGACCAGACTAGATCAGACCAGACTAGATCAGACCAGACCAGATCAGACCAGTTCAGACCAGACCAGACTTAGATAGTTATATAAAAATACAAAGAAACCAGACCATATCAGACCAGACCAGTTCAGACCAGACCAAACCAGACCAGACCAGACCAGTAAATTAATAAAAACATCCTTAGAGCTGAGCTGAGTGTGCTCTTAACTATCAGTCATTAGTCAAACCCGTTCTATGCGCTATACCTACAAAGGCAATGTTGCATGTCTGACATGTGGAGCTGAGTTAATGATTAACTCAAGTGGTTCCTTAATAAATGTTGACATCACTTTTTTTAAGAAAAACTGAGACTCGAATTAAAAGTATACTAATCTATAAAAATAACTTCACATTCGACAAAATTCCAATCATGATTAAGATTTAACAATTTTCACTTAGTGAAGAGTTAGAAAAAACATTGAAATTCTAAATACGAGAAACTAATAGGTTCTTCAATGCAAGAGTTACAGACTAATGCAACATTATAGAATTTCTATGCAAGAATTGGTAATAATTAATACTTTGAGTAAACTAACATAATGTCTAAATAACTTTTCAAGATATAACACTGCAAAAAAAATTACGGGATTGACACGGAATTTGGCACAGATAACTGATTTTCGTGCCAAATAGCTCGTGTCAAAGTGTTTTTGGCACGGATTTGGCATTTCCATGCCAAAATCCCTATCAATCCCGTGTTTTTTTGTAGTGTATCGATTATCATGATATAACGATTTAAAATTGATATCAGAATTGTTCTCGTAAGAAAATGCCAAGTTAATCAATTTCCGTGATGTTTGATACTTCCCCCGTTCCATAAAAATTGCAACATTGTAATTTCTACACTATTCACACACCTTACTTTGACTACTATTTTCTAATAATATATATAATAAAAATATTATGTATAAAATATTAATAAATTTGTATTATTGTAAATTTCCAATATATTAACTTTTTTTTAATGTTTACTAATACATAAATAAATATAAATACAGTCAAAGGTGCGCGTTGACAAACGTGAAAGTAAAACTCTTGCAACTTTTATGGAAGGAGGATAGTATATCATTAGAACTATAAGTCTATGACAACATGAATAATTGAGCATAGTGTTTGAAAGTATTAGTCACGAGGTAGTCACACAATTCGTGTTAAAATAAAACTTAACATGAATAATTGAAAAATGAGAGATTTCTCTAAATGGGAGTAAAACAATGGGAAAATGCAAAACTAGGACTATCATGTTTTTAGGACCTTTTTAGGACTAAAATATACTGGTTTGACAAAATTAACCCTTCATATAAAACTCCAGTTTCCGTAGGAAGCCGCTGAACCACCCAGATAGTCTCTTGCCGACCTCGACTGTCAAGCTCTCCATAGCAGGTAATTGATCCATATCTCTTCTTCTTTTCTTCTTTTCTTCTTGTTCCTCCTTTTCTCATCTTCTTCCAGGTCTCCTGAATTTTAATTTTTTCAATTTCCTTCTTATCTCTTCTTCTTCTTCTTCTTCTTCTTCTTCTTTTCTTCCTTTTCTCATCTTCTTCTAGGTCCTCTGTATTTTAATATATTTTTGGATTTAAATTTTAATTTATTTAGCAATTTTGAATCTCAGAATGCAGATTCCCAGAAAATGTCACTTTTTGAATATGAGAATGTCAAACTTATTGGTTATTTGAAAAAATGTCACTTTTATGGCAGTATGCTTATAAAGATGGCAATCTTAGTTTGACATAAAATGTCATTTTCGTATAAAAGATGACATTTTCTACTGCAAAAAGATGACATTTTCACATAAAAGATGTCATTTTCTACTGTAAAAAGATGACATTTTCACATTGATAGTTGTGACACTTTCATAGAAAATTATGCAATTATCCTATAAAAAGATGACATAAAAGTGGCATTCTCATATCCAAAAAGTGAAATTTTCAAATACATATTAGATATGAATGAATAAACAAATCAATTTTGGAACCTTGTTTTAATTTCTCATCCAAAATCTAAATCAAAATAATTTGTTTAAAATCTCAAAAGTAAGAAGTGTTAAAGTGAAAATCAAGAAAACTAAAATAGGCCAGAGTCGTACAGGAGAGAACAGAAGAGTGGAAGAGAAGAGAAGGGAAGGAGAAGAAGAGAAGAAGAGAAAGAAGTTGGAAAAAATTACCTGGCTTCATCAGAGTTTTGGGAGATTGGAAATTAGGGATGCTTGCTACGCATCTCTTTTTCTTCATCGCAGATAGATCGGAAATTAGGGATGCTTTCTACGCATCTCTGTTTCTTCATATTGGAGTCGGCGAATCTAGGGTTTAATTAAAGGAAGGGCAAAAATGTAATCACCAATACTATTTAGGGAATAATAGACTTCAAGTCCTATTTTGGAATTTTAACTATGTTTTAGTCATATTTAGGACAATTTATTCTTGAAAAATTAGTGCAATTACAAATTAGTTTTTTCTTTTGATTTTCATGCTTTATAAGTAATGTTAAGTTTGAAAACTTGACACCACTCAAAAGCATCTCTAGTTATGTCCGTGCAAGCACGTAAGCTCTTATAATTGAAGAAATGCAAATTTTTAACTATTAAAATTAACGATGTTGGAAGTTCATGATGATCTTGATAGTAGGATTTTTTTGTTACCGGAAAACCCAACGGATCCCTTCTTGAAGGAGTTAAGATGGTTAAAAGGAAAGACTCTCTTTACGCGCAGGAGATGTCGATCAAATCTCGAAATCAGAGAAGAAAAATTACGACTTGCACGCGGATGACCATTCGTGTGCAAAAATCTATCTATCAAAAATACATTACAACTAAAGGGTTGGTGGTCTGATTTTGGATCGGTGGTCACACTACAAAGTAGGGTTGACACAAAAGGAAATGTGTATGTATTACATATGAGTCAAAGATAATGAGGTAAAGGTAATAATTACTACATGCACTTAAAGTTTAATTTGTGTAGGAGAGACTTGAGAGATTAATAAATCAGATTTATTTAAATTTAATCTAGTCTCAACCGATTTAAATAGAGATTCAAAACACTTGAATATAATACGGAGTATATATAACATTTGCTGACAACTCCGGTACCATCCTAAAAAATGGGGTACCGTACCTATCAATTATTTGATTGGATCACATTACTTTATCATTTTTAATTTAGATTTAAATAATTCAACTACTACATTCTCATTGATCCATGTGGACAAATGTATGGTACATTATGAGTACCATAGAATCTACCGTAACATTTTTAGGTTTCGTTTTTTGTTTAAATCTCACGTGGCACGACAATGACACGTAATGTGCACATTGTCTATGACCAGACTCTGGCCACTTACGGCCATTTATACTTGAATCAACAATGTAAAAAGATTACTACTCCTTAGGGAGGATTAGTTACATTTAAAATTTAAAAATGCAAGTACAAGAAACAAAAAATCCAAGTGTATCCTTGGCGTGTGAGGTGTCAGTCCCCTGCTGACTGTATGTGGCAACGTTGTAAATCTCAGTTTTGTGTCAAAAGAGCGGGTAGTACAAAGTACAAACCCTTGATGTAAAGGCAAGCAACCAGAAAAGTACCCTTGTCCAGGTCTCCCACACAAATCCTGTGGGGCGTTTCCATACTCAAGCACTACACTCACTATATAAATAGCCCCAAGAAAGGGCAGTCTAGCTTCTCAGATACAGTACCAAACCTCAAACTCTAGCTAAACTCTTTTCTTTTCTCTTGTTCCTTGTTTTAAGCCGGCCGTGAATCTGGAGTTTTCCGGGATGCCTTACACCGCAATGCACGATGAACCCGACGACCGGAGAAGCGGCAGCAAGCGATACCTCTTCCTCCTCGCCCTCAATTACTTCTTTCTCTTTGCCGGCTCTGTCTCCTCCAGCCTCCTCTCCAAGTTCTACTTCATCCACAAAGGCTCCAGCCGCTGGGCTTCCACCTTCGTCCAGTCCGCCGGATTCCCCCTCCTCCTCCCCGCCGTCTACATCCTCCACTACGCCTCCGGCCCGGATCCTGCCTCCCGGAAGAAACCCTTTTCCCGTTTCACCCCCGGGGTGTTTCTCATTTCAGTGATTATCGGCATTCTGTTGGGGATCAACAACCTGCTCTATTCGTGGGGGAATTCGTACCTCCCGATTTCGACGAATTCCCTGCTTTTGTCCACCCAGCTTCTCTTCACTCTCGTCGCTTCCGTTCTTATCGTCAAAGAGAAGGTCACATTTTCGGATCTCAATTGCGTCATCCTTCTGACGTTGAGCTCCATCTTGATCGGCCTCAATTCGGGTCACGACAGGCCCGACGGGGTGACCCGGGACAAATACTTCGTCGGGTTTGTCTCCACCATCGGGGCGGGCCTCCTGTTCGCCCTCTACCTCCCCGTGATGCAGAAGGTGTACTCGGGGGTCCACTACTACGCCATGGTGGTGGAAATGCAGCTCGTGATGGAGATCGCGTCCACTGCCTTCGCCGTCGCGGGGATGGCGGTCAGCGGTGGGTTCGCCGAAATGAAGGCGGATATGGATCACAAGTTCGATCTGGGGCCCAGGGCGTACGTGCTGACAGTCGGGGTTAATCTGGTGACGTGGCAGCTTGCCTTCATGGGCACCGCCGGGATGGTGTACCTGACGACGTCACTGACGGGCGGCATCTGCATGACGGCGCTGATGGCGATGAACGTCGTCGGAGGCGTTCTGGTTTACGGCGACCGCTTCGATGGCTCCAAGGCGGTGTCCACCGCCCTCTGCCTCTGGGGATTTTCGTCGTACCTTCACGGCATGTATAAGAAAAAGAAAAGCCGGGACAACGGCGGCGGTAGCGGAGAATCTGCGTAAAAGCCACGAAACGCTCAGAAAAGACGGATATTGTAACGTTCGGCGACTGAGGTGACAGTTCACTGCTGACTGTATGTGGCGGCGTGGACGGTCACATCTAGAGATTATAAATGTAACATTAAATCAGCAGTAAACTCTCATCCGTCTTTTTAAATTCAAAAAATCTATTTATATACACTTTTTGTACACAATTATGTACACATCCTCCTATTTTGTATGTGCACACAGGCAGTTCGTTAAAAATAACACAACATTTCTCTTTCAATTGTCTGTGTACATAGATAAATGTACAAAGTGTGTACAAAAGTGTGTACATATTGTTGTTTTAAATTACCCGTATCTAGCAAACTCCCCAGTAAAAATTATGGAAACTTTTATTTAATTATCATGTTTAGTAGTATGTTAATGTAAATATGTAAAATATGTTGTGAAAAGAGATCATATATGTCTGTTCTAAAATCATTCCACCTCTTCTACTACGTGTTTAATTTGTTTTGGCTTTTATTTGAGTTGGGTGAGTTGTTGTTTCAAGAAAAGGTGACACTCACAAGTCACAAGAACCGTGTGTTACAAAAGTGATTTTGTCCATAATTGAATTAGTTTTTCAAGGATTCAATTTAAGAATTTTTAAATAAAGTGATGTGTTTTTTCAAAATAAATAAATAATACTCCCTAAATAAAGTTCAGTGTTTCACTTAACATAAATTAAGGAAATAAATTTGATTTTACTGTAGAGTACACTGTTCTGACACTGTTTGACACTGTTTTGATGTAGATAATTTGCCAAATAAGGAAGGAGAAGAAGTGTGAACTTTATTTTGGACCGACCCAAAAAGGAAAGTGTGAACTTTATTAAGGACCGGAGGGAGTATGATGTATTTTTTCAAAATTAATAAATAATGTGATGTCTTAATTTTTTATATTTTGAATAATGAAAAAAACATTTTATCATTCAATAAATGCATGTTATATAAGGATGTATTAAAAATTATCAAAAAATGTATGCTTATGCCTATTGTTTGTTAAAAGAAAGTCTCGATGTTATTTTTAAACCTAGTTATCAGTCAAATTTTTCCAACAAACACATGTTTCATAACTTTTGATATCACTCGTTAAATTAGTTAAATATAGCTTATTTTCATTTAATTTTTTATTTATCTAAAACATATGTACTATTTTTTCTTTTTCATAAATCAACACATTCAGTCGATTCAGGCATAACTTCATATTTATATACTATTATTTTTGTTTTTCATAAATCAACACATTCACATTCATAACATTTGTTAGGATGTTTTTACTTGGATTGTTTTTAGCCTAGAACAGACCAGAACATATCATATCAAACTTAAACAAAACAAATCAAATTTTCATAGTTATAAAATACACATAGATCAGACATTACCGGACCAGACCAGACCAAACCAAGCTTAAACAGATTAGACCAGATCGGACCAACAAATTTTAGTACAAGAGTTTTAATTGTAGCTAAAAAAGAATATGCGGTATAAGTTTTTTAAAAAAAATTAAGAGATCATTTGGTTTATTACTCATTTTTTGTCAAAAAAGTATATTTTCACACACTTGTCAAAATATGTAAGATTGAAGTTACTTTGTTGATTAAAATTATATTGTTGAGTAAGACTCTTTTACCAAGTTTCCATATAATTTTATCTTTATTTTATAATCAGTATGAAGTATATTTTAAGTATAACTTTTTCACAATTCTAACATATTCAACAATCGATGATTTGGTCAAAATTTCACCAATTTCAACGGATTCAATTAATTTTGTGTTATTGAATGGCCTCTAATTAAAGAAAAAGAGTGAATTCATCAACACATCAGAAAAGATTGATAATGAAGTGACCAGATTTATTAAAGTCACAGTGACAATTTTATTTTGGTTTATTATACCAAGCAATAAGTGTTATCAAATATTTTTTATTTTTTATATCCAATATTTTTATTATTACTTTTGTTCAAGTATTCAATTTTAGAATTATTAAGTACAACGTGGTCTTTATTATTTATCTAAATAATATTTTTTAAATTTAATTATCCAATCATTATTTAGTTAGTTACTTATATACTCCGTTTTTATTTATTTATTTATTTATTTATTTATTTATTTATTTATTTATTTGTAACAAGTTTTCATTATTATATTTTAAATGAAGACGTGTTAAACATATTATTTGGCGGGTCTACTCCAAACCTTGAATACTTATTAGACTATTGTTGCAGAACCAGACGTTTACTAGACAAGATCATACTAGACTTAAACAGACCAGACCAAACCGGACTTAAACAGATCAGACCAAACCATTAAATTACAGTCCAAGTAAAAACATCTTTACTAGGTGTAAACTCCATTAAATAAAATATTTAATATTTAATACTCCGTATCGTAAACCTGCAGCATTTGTACAGTATATATATATAGGGTTGAGTTCTAATAAGAAGACATCTTAACGTGAGAAGTGAGAAGCTTCACATTTGTCTCTTTCTGATGCACTTTTTCGCTAATCTGATGCACTTTTTGCCAACGGCAGAAAAATTCAGATTAATTACTGATATGCCACCGCGTCTAGCATCACTTTTTTAATATTTTTTGCACTTTCTCGTGCACTTTTTTGCTAATCTGATGCACAGATCTTAAAATGAACGCACCAGATGCATTCTCACTTCTTACGATAAGCACTCTTCTCATTTGATCCTTATTATATATATATATATATATATATATATATATATATATATATATATATATATATATATATATATATATATTATAGTAATGCTTAATCCATCAATGTTATTTTTGATAATGCCATCATCTATGTACATACAAGCCTTTGTTTATGAGCCCAGTTCAAAGATGTAACAGCGATAAACTAGTAGGAGTACTATATATGTGTATGTGATGTGCGGAGTATATATTTTCTGTTAAAAAGGTTTAATTTACAAATATGAAATATGATATCATGACAAAGTAATTATCTCCTTAATTAATAAATTAAACTAGTTCAATTCACCTAAAGATTAAATGATTCATACAGTCATACAACTAATGTGATTAAAGGCATCTAAAGATGGTTCGGCCTTATATATCGTAATACATGGGTAACAGTTGCTTTTAGCTACCGTTTCAAAGCTTGAAGTTCGAAAGAAAAATGTCTACCCCGTCTCCACGTGAGTTCAAAACGGTACCGGGTTTTAGCGAAAAAAGTATGACTGTTTTCTTAAAGTATGACTGTTAAGACTTCAGAGTGAGAACGACAAAATTATCTACTTGTTATTATTTAATTGTTTTTATACGACGTAGTATCCTTCGTTCTGTTTTAGTCGCAACATGTTGAATTTTACACTATTCACATGCTCTACTTTGACTATAATTTACACTATTATTTTATTAAAATTATTTTTTTAAAAAAATATTGTTCAATTCATCTCATTACAATTTTCAAAATCTGAATTTTAATATTTTTTTTACTAATAGAATTAAGATATAATTACGGTCAAAGACGTGCGTTGTCAAATGTAAAATGTTGACTCTTGAACCTAGAAAAGAATGGAGCGAGTATATTTTAGGAAGAAAAGTCTTCTTCCCTAGGGTTTCGGCCGTCATACTTTTCATCGAAATTTGTGATTTGACTTCGTAATTCTTGTGATCGTATGAGATGGAAGAGATGTGTGCCCGGTTGAACTTGGAAGATGGAGACTCAGATGGTGTGGAATTTGATGACACTATTATGGAAGAAGCCAAGGTGCAGGTTACGTACTGCCTGGTTGGGCGGATTCTTACAGATAAGGTGATTAAATTCCCTTTCTTTAGGGATACAATTGCGAACATCTAGAGGCCTGGACGAGGGGTTCACATTCGGGAGTTGGGGGAAAGAAGACATCTATTCCAGTTTTTCCACCCAGTTGACGTTGAATGAGTATTGTCAGATGGACCTTGGTCTTATGAGAACAATCTCGTTATTCTGCATAAGCTAGATGAAGCGGAGGACCCGACCTTGGTTCCATTGAGGCATGAAATTTTCTGGATCCAGGCTTATAAAATTCCTATACGTTACTTTACTGAAAAAATGGCCCAAGTTATTGGAAATCAGGTGGGAGACTTTGTTCATGCTGATCCAAACAATTTTAGAGGGGGTTTGAAGACTTTGATGAGAATCAGGGTGAAACGCCAATATGGAGCATGGTTGAGGGCTGGGGAAGGAGAGGCAGCATGGGTCAAACGAGTAGGTGGGTAGTAGACGGTGAAGGGAATTTCTTAAGCCCGGCAGGAGTGCAGTCTCAAGGGGATAGAGCTCCAGAGGTTTTTTTTCAGACACGGTGGATGTGGAGGAAGGGGTGGATGTTACTGGAGGCTCTTTTAATAGGGCAAAGGGTGGTAGTAACTCTAACATTGTGTTATGGCAGGAGCAGACTTCTGGTGGAGAGGCTTTATGTCCGAGCAGTGGACTGGCAAAGAAACGTAAGGCAGTGGGTATGAATGAGACGGAGGATTTTTTTACTTTCAAAAAACGGAGCAATATCGGGTTTACCTGAAGAGGCCGTGCTTGGTTTTTTTAATGGAGACATTTTCGAATTCTCAGCAAGTCCAAGAGGTGATGAGGAAAGTAGGTTTGAAATATTGTTTTTTCGTGGACAACGAGGGGCATAGAGGTGGCTTTGCACTTCTTTGGGGGATGGGGTTCACGTGGATATTGGAAACTCCTCGCCCCACATCCTCCCTGGCTTCTGAGGGGTTTTCGGGAAACTGTTTGGGCGAGTGTATTGCAGAACTTCACGTTTCAGGGTTATCAGTATACTTGGGAGCGGTGGCGGGACCGGTACTCAGTTTTGGGTGGAGGAAAAGTTAGATAGGATCCTTGTTTTTTGGAGCAGGAAAGTATTTTTTTGCGCCAACGGGCTAAAGAGTTTTGGTTCAAGGGAGGTGACCTTAACACTAGATTTTTCATAATTCGGTGAAGCATCGCAAAAGAAAAAATAGAGTGGAAGGTCTGAGGTTGGAAGGGGGCAGCTGGGAGAGAGACAATACCGAATTTGGCCGGTTAATCAGCGATTATTTTAATAATATTTTCTCTTCTGTGCAGAGTAATGGGAATTTTTTATTTCATTATGTCCCTAGAAAGTCGAATGAGTTTCATAATGTGGAGCTTCTACGACCTATTTGAGGAGAGGAGGTTATAGC